GTTGAGCTTTCCGCTGCCCACCTCTCAGAGCCCATCTTTCACACCTTGGTTTATGCCAAGTGTACTAGAGTCGGACGCTATGATCTTTGGGACACCCTGCGTGAGATTGCCGAAAGTATGGAGAGATTGTCATGGATGGTTAGTGGTGATTTCAACATCTTTCTGCATCCCGATGAGCGTGTGGGTGGCCATTCGGACAGGTAACGGGAGATGTGGGATTTTGCGCAGGCGGTGGCGGATTGTGAGTTAATTGACGCTGGATGTGATGGTGAGCCCTTCACGTGGGTGAGGGACGGACTCAAAGAGAGGTTAGACCGTGCCTTAGTTTCTGAGGCGTGGTCGAAGGTGTTTGCAGTTATGACCGTCACACACCTTACTCGATTCGGGTCTGACCATTCACCCCATCTCATCCGGTGTCGATTTTTGAGCACCCCCCGCCGCGCTTCATTTAGGTTCCAGAACATGTGGGTTTGCTACCACACCTTCCACGATACTGTCAGGGATTCCTGGCTTCAGCCGACTGGGCTCTTCGGGATGCGCAATCTCGAGGCGAAGCTCGGCAGACTGCGGCGTCGGTTGAGACAGTGGAACTGGGATGTCTTTAGAAACCTTCATCAGCGCCTTGCTGCGGCTCAGAGTGCGCACGCGACGCTGAGCGGGCCTATGACCTGGACCCCACTCCAGAGAATAGAACTGCCATGGACCGCTGCCACGCCGAGTACCAGCTCCGACTCCTTATGGAGGAGGACTTATGGAAGCAAAAGGCGGCCGTTCGCTGGGTGGCCGAGGGCGAGCGGAACACTAGGTTCTTCCAGGGCTACGTTAGGCAGAAGTGTGCAAAGTCGTACATCCATAGTATCGAGGCTGATGGGTCATCCATGACCCAGGAGGCTCAGATTCGGGAGTCGGCAGTTGCTCACTTCCAGACCCTCTTCACCTCTGACAGAGGGTCCCTTGTGGCCCCGTCCGCTTCTCTTTTCCCCACCATCCCTCCTTCGGTCGATCTCGTTGGCCTCTGTGAGCTCCTGAGTAGGGAGGAGGTTAGGGATGTTGTCTTCGGGATTGATTCCAACAGCGTTTCTGGCCCGGATGGTTTCTCCTCCCTCTTTTATCAGGTCTGCTGGGATTTAGTCGAGACTGACGTCGAGGAGGCGATGTTGGATTTTTTCTCTGGTCACCGGATGCCGGATTCCTTCACGTCTACCTCTGTCGTCTTGATCCCCAAAAGACCCAACCCGAGCTCTTGGTCCGATTACAGGCCCATCAGCCTATGTAACGTGACCAACAAGCTCATTTTGAAGATTCTTAACAACCGTCTTCCCCTCTTCTCCCCTCCCTCCTCTCTCCGAACCAGAGTGGATTCGTCAAGGATCGGGTCATTAGTGATAACATCCTTTTGGCCCAGGAGATGATCCAGAACATCTCCCGTGCGGATTGGAAGCGGGCTCTGAATATCGCGCTGAAGCTAGATATGGCTAAGGCGTATGATAGGGTAGAGTGGCCGTTTCTTAGGGAGGTCCTGGCTAGGATGGGATTTCCTGACCGTTGGATCAGTTTTGTCGAGGCGTGCGTGGAGCACTGCACGTTCTCGGTCCTGGTCAATGGCAGCCCCACCGATTTCTTTCCCTCATCTAGAGGACTTAGACAGGGCGACCCTCTGTCCCCCTCCCTTTTCGTTCTTGCGGCGGACTACCTCTCTCGCTGCCTTGACGGTTTCATCCGCGACTTTCCTCATATGACGTATAGCACCCGTGGCTATGGTCCTCCCATCTCTCACCTCTCTTACGCGGATGACATCATCATCTTCACCTGGGGGGATGATGATGGATTGGTCGAGCTCATGCGCCTTTTAGAGCACTATGGCTCGGTTATCGGTCAGCTGGTCAGTGTGCAGAAGAGCACATTCACCCTCTCCTCTTCCAGCGCGACCAGGTGGACTCAGCGGGTCCACGACATTACTGGCTTTGCGCGTGGCGACCTTCCGATTACCTACCTTGGCGTCCCTTTATATAAGGGCAACCTCACGAGAGCGCTCTTTGCGGGCGTCAGGCAGAGGATGATCGACAGGATCTCTGGTTGGTCGGATAGACATCTTTCTTTCGGTGGTCGGCTTGCGCTAATCAAGAGCACTCTTAGCTCTCTTCCTATTCACTTGCTTATGGTCCTCGACCCCTCTAGGTCTACTCTTGACGAGATAGACCAGATTATGGCTCGTTATTTCTGGGGTTACGAGGACGGTTCTGGGAGGGGGAGACGTACCAACTGGGTGAGTTGGGACTAAATCTGTCGCCCCCTTCCCGAGGGTGGACTTGGCATCCGCCGCCTCAGGGACATTGTTACAGCTTTCTCATACAAGCTGTGGTGGCGCTTCAAGGAAGGAAAGTCGCTTTGGGCTCAATACCTTCGCGGCAAGTACTGCCCTAGACGTGCCAACCACCCTTGTTGGGTGACAGCCGTTGATCTTGATAGTAGGCAGTGGCGGCGCCTCACTAGGGTTGGTAGGCTCGCCCAGGATCACATCTTCTGGGTTCTGGGCGAAGGCGATGTTAGTTTTTGGGATGAGTGGTGGGTAGGTGATAGGCCGTTGTCTAGGGATAGACTGGTGTCACATTCCCCCTACCTGCTTGTGAGCGACCTCTGGACGGACGGGTCGTGGGATAGGGGGAAGCTTGATAGGGAGTTGGGGTCTGGTGCGGGTTTTAGCGAGCAGTTATTAGATCAGATCCAGCAGATCCCTATCTCGGGGGACGGTTCAGATAGCATGAGGCGGAGACTTACATCATCGGGTGTGTTTACCACTTCCTCGGCTTGGGAGCAGATCAGCGGGTAACGGGTAACGGTCCACCGAGCTCCATGCCACAATCTTCCCTAGAAGAGATGATCAGGACACTTGCAACTAGGTCCATGAACTTTCAGCAGGGTGTTCAAGAGAGCATCAAGAATCAGGAATTGAGGACAAAGAACTTAGAGGGACAAATGAGTCAATTGGCGGAGCATATGACTCGAATAGATGCACAACTCGGGGGCCGACTTCCATCTCAACGTGAGATCAATCCTAAAAATGTCAGTGCCATCACCTTGCGGAGTGGGAAAGAAATAGTAGCCCCGAAGACTCAAAATGAGAAGAATGAAAGTGAAAAAGAGGGTCTGTCAGCAGAATATGAGGCCGAGCAGCAGAATACGGGGACACCCAGTACTCAGCCTGCAGATATTGAAAGACGCAAAGGCAACCCGATTTGCCCTCCACTGAAACCCGAACCTCTACCGTTTTCATCCAGAGTACGAAAGGCAGCAAAGGAAGAAGCTGAGAAACAGGTTCTTGATGTGTTCAAGAAAGTCGAGATCAATATTCCTCTCATTGATGCAATCAAGCAAGTCCCTCGATACGCCAAATTTTTGAAGGACCTATGCACCAACAAGCGAAGGCTGCAAGGGAATGAGAAGGTTCTGATGGGAGAGAACGTCTCGGCAATATTTAAGAAGGATTTGCCCCAAAAGAGAAGCGACCCAGGTATGTTTTCGATTCCATGCACCATAGGTAATTTAAAAATCGAGCGAGCCATGCTCGATTTGGGAGCATCAATTAATGTTATGCCTCGCTCTATTTTTTATTCCTTAAATTTGGGTCCTCTTAAAGAAACTCGGGTGGTAATTCAACTTGCCGACCGAAGTACTACTTGCCCGGATGGGGTAATTGAGGATATTCTTGTTAAGGTTAATGAGCTCATTTTTTCCGTTGACTTTTATGCGTTGAGTATGAATGACAGGACTCCTATGTCGGCCCCGATTTTGTTAGGGCGGCCGTTCTTGAACACCGCTCAAACAAAAATCGACGTTCGTGAAGGCACTCTCACAATGGAGATCGATGGCAATGTTATTCGATTTAATATTTTTGATGACATGAAATTTCCTGATTCTGACCATTGTGTTTATGTACTTGATTGTATTGAACCGTTGACACAGGATTTTCACGACACGTATAAGGACGGTGAGCTGGAGCTTGTGATTTCACAATGTTTCGATAAAAATCAAGCAGTAGGGGGTACCTTCCCAGGAGTACGGGGTGCCCCAGTACTCGGGTTGCAGAGGGATAGTGATAAACCTGAATTTTTAAATCACTTGGGGCTGATCGAGGAGGCCGCACTGGAACATGAGCTGAAATCCTTGCCGAGCCACTTGAAATATGCCTATTGGGGAGAGGATCGACCACCCCCGATTATAGTGTCATCGAGTTTGGAGCCTAACCAGATGGCAACCCCCATTGAAGTGTTGAAGAATTTCAAACGAGCCATCGGTTGGGCCATTGCCGATTTGAGAGGAATGAGTCCGTCCATCTACATGCATTGTTTTCTCCTCGAGGAAGATGCTAAACCCTCTCGGGAGGCGCAACGACGGCTGAATCCTCCCATGATGGAGGTGTGAAAAATAAAATCATAAAGTTGTTGGACGTGGGAGTCATTTATCCGAGCCCGGATAGCCGTTTGGTGAGCACGACGCAAGTGGTTCCAAAGAAGTCGCGTAAAATGTTCAAGGTGAACGGCGATAAGCTTAAGCCGTATTATGGAGAATTTGGAATCGACGATATGGAACGAGTCCAGCTGGATGTTCCTCAGTCAGTTTAAAGGGGAGTACATTGTCGAGCCAACGACGTTAAAAAAAGGCGCTAGTTGGGAGGTAACCCAATATTATTATTATTATTATTATTATTATTATTATTATTATTATTATCATTTTTAATTCTGTTAGTTTTTATTTAGTGGTTCTTGAATAAAATAATTAATTCATGAGGAAGAGATAATTTTGTTTGCTGTTTTTGCATGTTGCAATCTGCTAATGAAATGTCCTATTGTTTATTGTGTTTGCTACAGATTCATTGTATTTTTCCTGGGCCGAGTATTGTGCTATGATTATGATTATTGGGGACGAAACAAGCTACGGGCCACTACATCTGAATGTTATGTTACTTTGAGCTCAAAATAAATTGGATGAGGGAGTGAATTTTATTGGGCCAGACAAGTTAAGGACATAGCCCAATATCCATTGACCTGGGCGTGCGTCACTTTATCTTCTTCCAAAAGAGTCTGACATCGAGCGGAAATTTGAGCAGAAGATTTGAGAACAAAAATTGAGAAATTGAGTGAAAATCTGAAAACCATGGTGAGAATCAAGCAACAAGCTTTCAAATCGAGGTCACCCCCGAGGACCGACGAGTCACCGCCGGCTTCGCCATCGAAATCGCCGCCGGTGTCACCATCGGACGCCGCTAAAACGCCGCCCGCAACGCTCCGCCATCCGCGACATCGCCAGAACCTCAGTCCAACCCCGTTTTGCCGTCGGCTGACCCGAACCCGGCGAACCCATCGCCGCGTGCCCCGCTATTGTCCGCTTCGAAGCCCACGTCGCCTTCTCCGGTTCAGTCCACATCGCCGTCAGCACTTTAGTCGGCTGAGTCAGAATCACCGACAGAAAAGCCGTCAGCCCGACCGAAATAAGCGACCGCAACACCGCCGTCCACTTCCGAGTCACTGGCTGACGAGCCCACGTTGCCAGTCACCCGAACCTCATCCCAGACAGCATCCGGGACCACCGTTAGCCAAACCCGAGCCTCACCGGAGGACTCGGGCCTAAGCGGGCTCATGCAGGCACATCATCGGCTCGAGGAGTTGGAGCGAGAGCAGCAGCGCCTTCCCATTGACTGACCCTACACACCGGCACGCGCCAGGATGCTACCTATGACGAGGGAAGTCCGATAACTCCTTCTGTTTTTATTTTATAAACATTCTTAGTGTTGTGACGTTGAGGACAACGCCAATTTTTAAGTGTGGGGTGGGGTTGGTTGTTGGTTGCCCTATATAATGCTGTTCATGGTGATTTTGATTTTGATTTGCCCTGTGGAGTTAGACTTAGAGTCTGATTTAATGTTTGTCTGATGGTGTCGAGATTAATCGTATATCTTTTGTGATTATGCTTATTCCCTTTGTGATGCCAATTTTTGAAGAATTTTGGTGTGTGCGAAAAATTTTGGAGTCCTTGTGTGCTGCATATTGATTGGCTGATTGTTTTCAATGATCATTAATAGTCGAATGCACGAGGATTATCACAATTTGTCCCTATTTGTTGTGAGGCTTGAGCTAATGAGCATACACTGACTATAATGCTCTTTTTATTGATTGTGTGATGTCACGACTGGTTGATCTTTCTAGAACTTGTCTTGTTATACGCGTTTATGTTTGATTCTTGATGAATATGGATGCACATGATTGATAAGGGTAGGAATGAACCTATTTTGTGTAGCCTTTCTTCTTGTTTTCTTTTAAATCGAACCTCTTTCTTATCCATTAGTTAGCCCCCTTGAGCTTGAGCCTTTTCTTTGAATGATAGCCATATTACATACCATGTGACCTTTTGTTGATTTCTTATTTTAACCTTTGAATCGAGCGATCGTGTAAATTTTTGTCTAATTTGAGCAGAGGTTCTTGTTTGTTCGGGGTGTGTAAATGGGCTGTGAGTTATGGGCTGTGGGGGTTGTATGTTTTGATATTGAGTGTTCTGAGCAAGTTGAGCAGGGGTTATTTGTTAGAAGAAAGGATGTGTGTTTGAAGTCATTGTTAGATTAAAGGGAGATGTGTGGTCGAAGTATTGGTGAACGAATTGCCCGATTACTTATTGTCTGATTCGTCCTCCTTTTATGAAAAAAAAAAAATGAACAACCTGTTCTGAAACAGGTGAAAAAAAAAGAAAAAAAGAAATCTCTCGACCTGAAAAGAGGTAAGAAAAAAGAAAAAAAAAATAAATAAAAAAAAAGTGGAGAGGTTGACGATTGTGCTATAATGAGTTAAGTTGAAATTACTAGGAATTGGGAGTTGTAGTGATTTCCGTGGAGTGATTGTCCCTTTTATTCTTGGATTGGCTTGGGATATAGTTAGTTCTTTATCACTTGCGGGTAGTATGTTTGTGTTTTGAGCTCTTTTCGGACAGGGTTTGCACGATTGTTTTGGTTTGTTTATTATTCTTCTCGCTTGTCAATACCTCTAGCCATTTTTACCCATACCCTACATTACAACCTTATTATAAACCCTTTGATGTTTGTGAATCTATGTTCATTCTTGAATAGTCGGGCGTGATGCAATGGCAAGCTTATGGTAAAAGATTTTCTATGTTTTGACTTGAGCGTTCACTTATATTTGTATATCTTTAGCCTATACACTTCGAGAGTTTGAGCGAACCTTGTGAGATGTGTTGATCCTCGTTTGCATTTCATATTGATTGGTTGTTGAGAATATGTGTCATTGATGTCGGTATATGAGGATTCCACTATAACTTGTCTTCTTGTGTGTGAAAAATGATTTTGAATTGGCAAAGGAGGGAAGGGTGTGATTACAATTTGATATGACAAATTTAGCTTGATGCTTGAGGGCAAGCATTGTTCAAGTGTGGGGTGGTTTGATTAGTCGAGAAAAGTGCTTGCATTTAATCATCTAATGCTACAATTGTGCACGTTTAATTCCCCACATTTATGCATCTTTTGACTTATTTGATATTATGAACAATACTTGTGCTTTGATGAGTTTTTGAGTGATTTTCAGTATTTTTGGAGCTATTTCTGGTTGCACGATGAGGTGTGGATGCTCGGAAGAAGGTCGAAGAAGAGTTTCCAGTGAGTACGGGGGTGTCCCGTACTGGACCAGCAGGCCCCATACTGCATGTAGCAGGCTCTTGCAATTCAGTTATGGTGACGTGGGAAATTAATATTAAAAGGGCCCATATATTTTGTGTATGAAGGAAGTGGGCTATTATTATGATACTGAGATGAGGTAGAATAAAAAGCCCACTTGAGTTGATTGCCATGTTGACTAGGAATACTTAAGAGAGAGAGACGTGGCATAAGAAAAGGGGGATATATATTTTGGACTTTTTCTTGTAATAGGTATTACACCTTCTGGCGGCTGAAGACCTAGGAATTGAACGAGAAAGGAAGAGCAGCAACTGGACAGAGAAGAATTTTTATTCTCTTTTCTTTTTCTTTCTTGTGTAATTAAATTCATGATTATGTTATTGAATACTATGAGTGAGTAGTCTTTTATTCTAGTTCCGGGGAAGTCGAACCCTACGATTGACTATGTTTTGATTAATTTATATGGTTGATGATTTTAATATCTTTTTGGAATTGCTTGTGTTATTTTGAATAATTCACCATGATGTGTTAGTCTTGTTTAGATTGATCACCTAGATTAGGCTTTTCATATCTACATCTGAATTAGACCTGCAATCCGTAATTGTTGTTGTGTTTAATTCATAAGAGGTAACCGGAAGATGGTATCTACCGGGGATAACACGGCCTGATTAAGTGAACGAACGTGGTTGAGTTCACTAATTAGTCTAGCCTATTTTTCTAATTCTTAAAGCGGCTAATTGTATTAAATCTTGAAAGGGACTGTACAAGAAGTCAGGTTTAATGGTCGAGCGTCTCGCGGTTAAATTAAAAATAAGGAAAAATTCGGGTAACAGACCGTGTCGTTACCTAGGGCTAGTAATTCCAGGAGATAGCGAAATCTGATACTAAAATTAATTAGACGAGTCAGTCGAGGGTGTAGACGGAACCGTGGACTAGAAGCTTTCCCATTTATTTGATTTTCATCTTTATTTGTTACATTCGAGTTCATTCCGTCATTCATATTTCTATTAGTTAATTAATTTCCACCATAATCCCCCCTTTTATTAGTATTGTTATGATTTCAATTAAAGAAAATAATTACAATTAAATTCCACACTCCATGTGGGTTCGACCCTTGCTCACTACTACTGCTAGTTGGTAGAAGTTGGTTAAGGAAAATAAATATTATATTTTGACCGTGTTGCGACGCGCGGTCAGACACATATATCCCTACCCACCACATACAGTTTCTTTGAGCTTCTGAGTTTTTTCTCACAGAGCACACACCTTAGACACGTGGGCTTCCTCATTCCTTGTCTGATCCTTTGGTTCACCTGGACAGAAAGAAATAGTGCGAAGCATATGGATATTACTTTTATGCTTTCTCATATTGTTGTGCAGGTAGAGAGACATATTTCACTCCTCATCGCATTGGACAGGCTCACGGCCCGAGACTGGACAGGCTGCACGCCACCACATCGCTACATGGTGGCCCCACCACGGTCTGTTCGGCACCCTCGGCCCAGAGCTGTTGTTTGGCTTCGACCTGACTCTCCGTGGGTCAAGCTGAACACTGATGGCTCCTTTGATCGCCACACTGGAGTTGCCGGAGGAGGAGGCTTGATCCGGGACCATAGCGGCGCCATCATCACCACCTTCCACGCGTCCTTTCAGGCCTCCTCGAGCTATGATGCAGAGATTCAGGCATTACAGATCGGCCTTCAGATTGCTGTCCACCTCTCTAGACACATTTGGATCGAGCTAGACGCTGCGGCTGTCGCCACCCTTTTGACCTCAGGCCACCAGGATTCGTGACAGATTCAGCACCCGCTTATGCGTATTAGAGCTCTACTCCAGTCTGTCCATCACAGGATCACGCATATTTTTCGTGAGGGGAACAGACCCGCCGACTATCTTGCCAACCTTGGCGCCACCATACCAGACATACATACATTCCAGACTGACACTGCTCCACTCCGCCTCCGCACGCTTGTTCGGATGGATCAGCTTGGATATCCATCTTTCCGATTTTAGTAGATTAGGTTTTTGCTTTCATTAGGCTAGACATTTACTTCGGGCATCTGTTAGCCCGAAGATTGACTTTGTATTCTTGTTTCTGGTTTCTTTTCATTTTTCGGTTTTCTTTTTCTTTTTGGTTTTTTGGTTTTTAATTTTGGTTAGTGAGACTCTGTAGACTATTGTATCTTGTTCGTTGATATTTTGGGCCCCGATTTTGGGGTCCTGATCTATGCACAGGTTGGGGATCCAGCCCAATCCCCCGCCCTTCTGGGGCGTTGTTTGTTTTTTTTTTAAAAAAAAAAAACCTAGCAACAAAAGACAACCAACCTAGCAGCAAGAAAGAAATAACCTAGCAACAAAAGACAACTAACCTAGCAGCATCAGACAGCTAACGTGGCGCGATTTTGCGTCGAGATAGATCTGAGAGCTGAGCTCGTCCATGAGATTGAGATTGAACAGGGCTCGGAGTCCCTTGTTCAGCGGGTGATCTATGAGAAGATCCCCGCGTTCTGCACCTTGTGCAGCCATGTGGGTCATATTGCGGCTGATTGCTACACTAGTGGCAATAAGCCACGGCCCACGCTCCTGCAGCGCCATCGTGCGGCTCAGCCAGGGCCCTCCACCTGCAGGAGGGACCCCAAGGGAAAGGGCAAAAGCCCTCTCCATGCGCCCGAGACCCCGAAGGGGTCTAAGGATAAGAGCAAGGCTGTGATTGACGCCACTGCCCAAACTGGGAAGGATGCTCACCCTA